CGGTTATCTACTAAACCATTTCTATATTACTTCTCCTTCTTTTTTTTTTTTTACCCTCTAAAAATAGCGTTCACTCATTGTTGATAAGCTTGCGCAGGAAAGAAAAAAAAAAAAAAAAGAAAGCGAAAGAAAAATAACTTGAAATAGTTTTCGAGCACACGATAATCCACGAAAAGACATTATTCATTCGTCGGAGCGAACGAAGCAGTCGAGGTAAAGGCGGTAATAACGAAACGGCCTTCGAGTCGCGTACATTGCTCATCGCTTTTACGACGTTGAAACCGACCGAATGATTCTGACTCGAACGAACGGCAAGGAAAACGCGCTCTCCTCGAAACGCCTCGAACGAACAAGCCTTTGCGACGTATGTATGTAACGTGTGCTGGAACGAACGTTTCGTTAATGGTCTCGTTCTTCGTCTTTCTTTTTCTCGCTTTCTCTTTCTTTCGTTTGTTACTTATTTCAAACGAGAAAGAGACGGGACGGAACCCGGACAGAACCTCAAGAGAGTTTGGCGAGCATCATAAACGATATTGCTTCTCCGGCATAGAAATAATAATTGTCGCATTTCTCGTGAAATAAATTATCCAAGAATTCTCGCCATTTTTATTTTTTCTTCTCCTTTTTTTTTTTTTTTTTTTTTTTTTTTTTATCTCAAATGAATAAAAAAATAGCTAAATCCAAAGGCGAAAAGGGATAGTAGAGAGTACACGGAAGTATCGGCACGTCGAAATAGTTTCGATTAACATCTGTCTAGTTTTCATTCTTTGCTTTTAATTTTCTCACTTTTCAGCTCAATGAGAATTATACAAAAGAGATATTGGATCGATAGATATCATTTTTTTCTTCCCCGATTGATAATTCTTTTGTTCTTACAGGAACGTCCACTACTAGGCGTTTATCGATGCAAGATATGTGGATATTCTTCCTCTTAAGAAAGGTTCATCGTACGATGAAAGAGTTTCTTTTTGTCTCGATTTTTCCCCTCTTTAGATGAGAGGATTCTCGAAAGTGATACACAAAGGTGATAAGCTAGCCAAGTTATTTTACTGTCTCTTTCTCTCTCTCTCTCTTTCTCTAAAGTAATATATTTCTTAAATATCAATTGAATTTATAATTTCTTGATACTTTTTTTCGAAAAGTCGATATGTTCGTTTTATTATATATGTTTTAGATCGGATCTCAACTTCGATTTAATTTTGGATCTCGTTTATAGCTAGCATGTACTTGTATCTACGAGTTTGCGATCGTTAAAGTCCAATGGGTTCTTTTTATCATCGGCAACTTTCGTTTCTCCTTTTTTTTACTTCCATTTCATCGTCGTTCGAACGTCGTTAATCGGCAGAAATATTGACTCTGAAAGACGTCACGCCTTTCGAATCGTCACGGATATCGCCATGGCCGAGAACGTGGATGGAAAACCGATGGAAACGAATAGCGGGATCATCGATAGGTAAGTTAGAATGAACAAAAGAGTTGGTGTAACGTAGGATGGTTGTTAAAACGATATACGTATGCATGTACAAACTTTCATCGTCGATCCTATAACTGCAGTTTTATAATTTGCATATGTACTCATGTATATTCTAGAATATTTTAAAATATAGAATTATTGCATATAAAATATATGCATATAAAATATACATATTATATGTGCATACAAACATACACACACACACACACACACACATATATATATATATATATATGAAATGTAGAATATTTCAAAGAATATTCCAAAATAAGATAATATGAAATATAAAATTTTAATAGATATAAAATAAAATTATGGTATAAACAAAATAGTTAAAAAAATATGTAATATAAAATAATTTAAAAATATTTTAATATATATGTACGTATACATATACATATGTATATATAAGACGTTCCTCTCGACGACACACTGATGCGTAAGAAACGTGCGTGCACTTGAAAGATTGAGAGAGAGAGAAAGAGAGAGAAAGAGAAAGAGAGAGAGAGATGTGTGTCAGCGGGTCACTGACATCCATCAACGCCAACGAACTTCGACGTTTGCCTACTTCTTATACGGCTAATTTCTTTTCATTAGGAAAAGCATGCTACTCGACCGACCTATCGAAGCATCTTATCCTTCCACGAAAAACTTCTCTCTTTCTGGATGAGTTTTTTTTTTTTTTTTTCTATCTATCAAATTTCAAATAGCAATCATATAAAACACATTGACGATGCGAAAATGCGAATAGCTTTAGCACGAAATCATTTTACATAATGTTACTTTTAAAATTGCATACTTATAAATTTACATTTACATTTTTTAAATTATATTTTGATTTTATCATCGAATTATTAATGGTTATTTCATATCTGAAGTTCTTAATGTTTTTTTTTAAATATCAATTATACTCAATGACGGATTTAACATTGAAAATATCGTAAACTTTATATATTTTTAAAATCCCTATTTAAGATAAATCAATTATGTACAATTATATATTTTCTTGATTCGATTGTTCATGCATAATGATAAAGTGAGAAATACAAATTTGATTATAGTTACAAATAGAAAAGGAAAAATTATATATCGATCGTCGGATATTAAATTAAATTTATTATATAACATAAATATATATATTATCGTGCTGGGGCCCTTGTCTTACGGGAGCCCCGAGGCGACCGCCTCCACTGCCAGTGGGTAAATCCTGACTGACTGATCATACGTGCAATTAGTATAGAGAGTTTAAAGTATATGTCGTTTAGTTTATTAAAGTTAAAGTTTCTATAGTATTAAATATTATAGAAAAAAAAAAAATATATATATATATATAATACGTATATAAGTGTATATTTAATTAAACTTATACAATAAGTTTAATATTATATTATAATATTCTTTTAGTTAGAAATAATAATTGTGTTATAGGTTGTTAAATTAGAAAATTAATTACAATCAATTATCTCTTTAGTTTTAATCTCAATTAATTTATTTTCCCGATTGTTAACTCGACTAATCGTACTCGTTATTAATTATTCATTTTTTTTTCTTCTTTCTTCTTTTTTTATTTCGTGTTTATTTCCTATCTGTCTTCTTTATGAACGATGAAAAATAAAATAAAATAAAAGAAAAAAAGAAAAAAAGAAAAAAGGAAAAGAGAAATACGTTCATAAAGACGGCATATGGCGGGCGAACCGCCTTAAGCCGTTTCGAAGGCACGCGTTTCAATTCAACGTGCAATTTTCGACAATAATGGCACGTTCTCTCGTTCTCGCGCTGCCCTCGTAGCATAATCGCGAACATCTGCAAAGTCGCTTCGACTTAAGAGGAATCTCAAGAGAGTCGTCTTTGGTATACGAGACGAGAAAAGAGAGAAAAAGGAAAGAAAGAAAAAAAATGGAAGCAGAAGAAGAAGAAGAAGAAGAAGAAGAAAAAGAAGTAGAAAAAGAAAAGAAGAAAAAAGGAATGAAATGGTAGGTTCGTTAACATAAAATTCACACGGGAAATTTACAAATAAATTTTGTAGTTCCAAAGAAACCGGAAATTAAAATTTTTTTAAAATACGCACTGTAGAAATTTCGAGATAACTTTTCTACGAAATATCCGCATTTCTTTCTCTCTCTCTCTCTCTCTCTCTTTCTTAATTCTACGACAGGTTCGTTAAAAAGAAAAAGAAAAAAAAAATATTACGGCTAAAAAGAAGGCGGGGTCGAGCACCGCATTAATGTTTTTCAATTTTCATGTATATTCAAGACTCGCCTGGCCGCCGATCGTTCCAGTTTCGCGATACTAATTGCGCTCGTTTTGCCCGTACACGGGCTCTCTCAGCTACCGCTATCGCTACCACTGTTGGCTGGGGTACTATTGCTGCTGTTCCTGCTGCTTCTGTACATACTTTCGAGCTAGAGGGAGAACGCACTCGGAACTCGTTGAATTCTCTTCGAGTATGTACTTCGGAAAATTCCGACGAAATGCTATGTGTACGAAGGAAAAGGAGGAAAGGAAAAAGTTAAAGGCATGGGAATGGGGGTGGGGGGAAAGAGAAAATTTATAAAAATGTCTAAGAAATTGTAAGGATTTGATAGATTTACAAAATTACAAAATCAAGATGTTTAATATTGGTCTATGATCAATTTAACATCGATCTCTCTTGTTTCCCAACATAAATTCACGAGAAAGAAAGAGAGAGAGAGAGAGAGGGAAAGAGAGAGAGAGAGAGAGAGGGAAAGAGAGAGAGATCACTCGCTCGTTTTTCTCGGTGAAAGCCGTCGAAACTCGACTCGAATCCCGGAGGCACGTTCTTCGCGATCCTCGATATTCGGATCGACAATTCGGCTAACGAGCAATTATCCTCTTCGTCCGATATATGCACGGTATTAAAGTCGCATCGCTTCGATGCACGTTACGCATCCGCTGAGAGAAGAGATCCCATCGTAGGAATTAATTGTTCAGAAACTACAGTTATCCACCAGGTATGTGTGTCGCCTCGTGACCGTAGATATTCTTCCTCCTTCTTCTTCCTTTTTTTTTTTTTTTTTTTTTAATTCATTAATTCGCACAGGCCGCAATTTGTATTTTTAATATTTTTAAATGCATCTTGTTTCATCTTCTTCTTCTTCCTTTTTTTTTTTTTTCTTTTCTTTTCTTTCGCATCGAGGAATACAAAATAAGACCATTCGTTAGAAATTTTAATCATTCACGATTGGTCCAATAAGTTTATTAAGAATTAAATTGAATATATACTCGTATCGAGATCGTTTTTCTCTTTCCCTACTTCTTTCATACTTTTTTCTCTCTCTCTCTCTCTCTCTCTCTCTTCATCTGCATTAAATTTCTCTCATAATGCAATATTACTATACGGATTTTTGCAATAACATAATAGAAGACGAAAATTACAGAAGAAACAAAAGGTGCGATCTTGCGTGTCGTAAAGTTCCGAGAAATCGTTGGATTCTTTTCCGCGCTGCTCGGCACGATTCCACTTCCCTTTATACGGCGAATAATTGTCAGTTGTATATATTCCTAATCCTAATGTGGCTGAGCGCGCGGTTTTCACCGAGTTCATCGTATAAGGAAAGGAAAGTTTCGAGGCGTCAATTGGCCGATTCGAGTTCGTAACAAGTTCGTCGTTGTCTTTATAGAAAAGCATGAAGGATAATACGTAAGATCGATGCGTGTTATATAACGCTTATATATGTATAATGTATGATTAGATATATAAACGTAAAGTTACGTCTATTGACGACGACGACGACGACGACGATGACTACAACTACGACGACGATTCACAATACATCGTCGTATATACACATAATTTAAAAGAGATATAATCTCTTCAAAGAATTCGATTCACAAGTCTTCGTCGATCCTCTCAAGATCATCGACCTCTTTCCGTCTTCGAGTTAACCTTGATCTCCCTCCCTCCCTCCCTCCCTCCCTCCCTCCCGCCTCCCGCCTTCCTTTACTTTCCGTCGAATCGGAAATCAACTCGTTTCTCTCGAATCATCGGAATCTCTGGTCCTCTGGTGAAATTATAGCGAAAGCAAAAAAAAGAAAAGAAAAAAAGAAGAAGAAGAAGACAATGAAAGAAAAGAAAAGAAAAGAAAAGAAAAGAAAAAAAAACGGAGAAAGAAAGAAAAAAGATCGACTCTAAAAGAGAACGTATCAAGAAAGTTTCACTTTCCTTTTCCTTCGTCCTCGCTAACGTCTCTCATCTGTTGGATTTGATCTTTCACCGGAAGATAGAAACAGCGAAAGTTCGTTGGACCATATCAATGATCCCGTCTATTCGTTATTAATAAGATGAAGCGAAGTAAAACGTAAGATATGATCGATTTCCTATTTAATTACAATAGAGTCCTATAATATATTCATATATATCTATAATTAATACTACTATATAATATAAATACATATTTATAAAGTTATAATAAAAATATTTTACTATGAAATAACAATGGTCTGGTTTACGGTAACAAAAAAAAAAAAAAAAAAGAAAGAAATAAAAAAAGTGAATATACATTTATATAAAACTCCGATGCATTATAGCGAGAAACACGAGCGAATCGTTGATCACGAAGTAGTAGTGAATCGACCTTTAAGCTCGATTTTCTTTCTCTCTTTCTCTCTCTCTCTCTTTCTCTCTCTTTTTCTACATAAGTATTATTATTGTAAAAGCGTTCATGGATGGGCGTTAAAAATAAAATGCGTGAGGCAAGGTTTAATTACCGATTTATTCCCAGCCATGATTCCGATCTATCGATCTATCGATCGAATCTTGTTTCTTTGAAACATATTTCATCGTCATGGTAGACTGAGCTTGGAAAGTTAAACTGGAGATGCTCTCTTAGAAAAAGGATACAAAGAAGAAGTAGAAGAAAAAGTAGAAAAGGAAAAAGAAGTAGAAGAAGAAAAAGAAATAGAAGAAGAAAAAGAAGTAGAAGAAGAAAAAGAAGTAGAAGAAGTTGTGGCGAGAACGGCAAACGATCAACACGGGGGTCCTCTTATCGGTGTGCGATCCTAACGCGTCGTGGATATAATTTCCATTCCATGGCATCTAAAGAGATAACCGACTGGGTTCCACTCGAGATTCCGCTAATGTTGCTTGCGCGAACGCTCAGTGTGAGGTAAGATTTTTAAGTGACCTTTCCCATGACACACGTACGCTCTCATGTATTTGTATTCCAGCTGTTGCTATATAAAACGATCGTCGAAGCATTTTACTCGCTACGTATAAATATATATATATATATACATACACATGTGTATTCTCCTTCTTGATTCCACTTGTTCATGCGTGAGAAAAAGACAGACATTCAAAGAAAAGGAGAGAGAGAGAGAGAGAGAGAAAAAGAGAGAAAGAAACTTAGCGTCATGTGTCATCCTCTCTTTACGCATACATATAAATATGTACATTTGTTCGTACGCATAAATGCGTCTTTCTTTGCTTCACTTCCACTTTTCGAACGTCGTAATACCCGTCATCGCAATCCGTAATTATGCAATATTCTTCTTCTTCGTAACTTCGTCATCTCTCTTCGACATCTCGAATTTTCTCACGCACATCGAATTTCCAACACGGCCAATGGAACACGTTGCAGATAAAATGTATGTATGTGTGTGTTTATTATATATATATGTTATAGATTTTACACACACACACACACACACATATATATATGTACATATACATGTATTGCAGGAAGAATTTAAAGTCATCTTTTACGAGAGACTTAAACGCGCCATTAAACGTGAACTAATGAGTTTACCCTTTTTACGCAGGTTAGACTTCGTGATCGACTCGTTCGATATACCGATTTCGAAGCGACCTTTTATAGTATTGTTTCGGAACTAGCTAGAAATGAGAGAAGAGAAACAATAGCCCGTTATACACGGGTGTTACAGTTTCTCTAATCGTTCGAAGGATCTCTGTTAGAAAAACGTGGATTATACTGGCGTGAAATAAAAGAAGTAGAAGAAAAAGAAAATGATGATGATGATGATGATGATGATGATAATGATGATGATGATGATGAAAAAAAAGGATGAAGAAGAAGATGAAGAAAAATTGAAGGAGGAAGCGGAGAGAACTTAGCTCTCAGAATTGTCGAGCGAATGGAGCGACAGGTGTTCGAGTTTCGGACAACAAAAGAGGAACTTGCTATTCGATTGCGCGTACAATCGATTGTTCGTTATTGAATAAATGTCTATGTTTCTTAGAATTTTTTAGACTAACAATAAGCTACGGATCGTAATTATCTATAAAAAATTGAATATATATATATATATATATACGTATACATATTTGCGAGAAATAAATACTGGAAATAAATACTTTGTTAATTACTATATAATCGTTTTATTTTTCTAGGTATTTTCATAAAAAAGAAAAAAGAGAAAACACGAACGAACCATAAAGGAATGCTCGCCGAAGTATAGAAAGAAAAAAAAAAAAAAAGAAAAAAGAAAGAAAAAAAAAAATAGAAAGTAAATCATCGTGGATGAGTTGAAAGTAATATCGAATCAGTCGTCTCGTTATCGATTTCCCGGCGTCTTTCGAATGATCGGTATACGCTAGTGCGCGCTCGCTCATGGAAAGAACGTCTCGTCGTAAAGTTTCGACGTTTCCCACGTCGCCGGCTCGTAATTCACCACGGGGAAAGAAGTGGTGGCCGGCGATTATGAAAACGGTGAGTGTAAGTAGGTACGCGTGAAAATCGCTCGTAAAATCGCGACTAGGTAAATCGAGTGTAGTACGTTGTTGTACGTACTTACATAGGTACTTTGCGTAAAACCGTTCTTATAGAAAGCACGCAGTTATAGGGTTTCTCTCTCTCTCTCTCTCTCTCTCTCTCTCTCTCTCTCTCTCTCTCTCTTTCGTTCTGGTTTATCGAGCGGAAGTAAAGAAAATACGGACGATTAAATTCACGATATAATTGTCGAAACTTTCGCTCGGTAAGAGATTTGAAACGAAAGTTTGAAACATTATTTCGATTGAAAAGATCGAATGAAATTGATTTGAAAAACGATCGAAGATATGGAAGATCTTTGAAAGAAGAAAAAGAAGAAGAAAAAGAAAAGAGAGAAAAAAGAATAAGGTGGAGGATGATCTCGAAAGGACTAGGAAGAAGGAAGTTACTGGAATACGTCGAGAGACGTATTTTGAGATAATCGCGTGCGGCTATGGTCGTTCTTCCTAAAGGACGGCGTATCTCCTTTGACTAAGGCCAATTTAAATACCTATCCTTAACAACGTTCTCTTCTTTTCCTTCCTCCTCCTCCTCCTCCTTCTCCTTCTCCTCCTCGTTCTTCTTCTTCTTCTTCTCATCCTCTTCTTCTTTCTCATTTTATCTTTCCTCTTCTTCGTCTTTTTCGAGCTCCCGCACGGGAGCTACCATCTTCGGCTCGAGCAGATAATTACGCGAGTTAATAATGACTTACGAAGTGCGGAGATTCGTTCGTTTGCTTAGTACCAATGATATGCGTGCTCGCCGTATGTGGTTGCGTTAAATCCCATCGCACTAATCTCCCTTGAAGCACCCTGCTTGCTTTGCCCTTTCCTTGCTTACCTCTTCTCTTCTCTTCCTCTTCCTCTTCCTCTTCCACTTCTTCTTCTTCTTCTTCTTCTTCTTCTTCTTCTTTTTCTTCTTCTTTTTCTTCCTCTTCTTCTTATTCTCGCATACCTTCGTTCCTTTTAACGTTCTCCTTACGAGCTATACTCTTAACTTTACTCGCGTTTCTCACGGCTCGACGACGTACAGACATACGAGATAGACGACCAAGAGTCGAACGTATTTAAAACGATTATTCTTCTTAGAATGGAATCTACTTACATTTTCTCTTTCTCTCTCTCTCTCTCTCTCTGTCTGTCTGTCTATGTATTTTGTTTTTCTCCTAACAATTTGGATCTCCCGCCATTGTCATTTTTCATAAATACGACGGACAAAGTAGGCCGAGACTTTTTCTCTTTCGGCTGAGTTGCATAGCTTGGCCCCAAAATCACCGCGTGAGTTATGAAACTTACGGCCTTTGCGGCAGTCCTGACTATGCAGGAGGACCTCTCTCATTATACGTCCTCCTTAATGCATAACGTCGCGGTTAATGCACTGTTATTGCCACGAACGTATACAAGTTTCCCTTTTCCTTCACTTCTCTCTCTTTCTATCTATCTATCTATCTATCTATCTATCTATCTCTCTTTCTCGTCATTTAATAGTACTACCTCCGTCCATAATCCTATTTCTCCCTTTGTTGTCGATTCCCTTCGAAAGACTAGTTAGTCGAATCGATGAATGCTAATTCACGTCAGGGAACGTCGTTCTATCACGGAAACATAATTGGCGTTTCCTTTGCCATTCGATTATACTTGAGAAATATCGGGAGTAAGAATAATCTAAAAGAAACAAAAAGAAAAAAAAAAAAAAGAAAGAGGAAAAAGAAAAGAAAAAAAAAAGAACATTATAATTCCACATAGCGTAAAATAAATGAATCTGTAGTATGTTTGTATATCGTCACTTAAAATCTCTT